AGACTTACATATATATATGTTGAAAACATATTTACGCTCCTGAGCCTCGAGCGGCCCGCCGGCTTCGCGCGGGACGGCGAGGTAAGGGGGGTAGCGCTGGTAGGAACAACTGAAAATCGGCCGCGAAGTGACCTATCTCGCCGCGCAAGCTCTGCAACAGAGCGTTGCGCGAACCGTAGGAATATTCCAGTGCCGCGTAGCAGTGATACGTAGTGCCACATGGACGAAGTTTCCAGCGATTTTCGACATCGGCCGCGAAGTGACCTATCTCGCCGCGCGAGCTCTGCAACAGAGCGTTGCGCGAAGCGTAGGAATATTCCAGTGCCGCGTAGCAGTGATACGTAGTGCCACATGGACGAAGTTTCCAGCGATTTTCGACATCGGCCGCGAAGTGACCTATCTCGCCGCGCGAGCTCTGCAACAGAGCGTTGCGCGAAGCGTAAGAATATTCCAGTGCCGCGTAGCAGTGATACGTAGTGCCACATGGACGAAGTTTCCAGCGATTTTCGACAACATGTGCACGAAAAATAGTACGCACGATTTGTTGAGTAACTGGGGATTTAGTACGGAAGTAATTGCGAACTTCACAAGTAAGTAAGTAGGTTTATTTATGATTAAATGTGAGAGAAATATATAGCTTTCTTACCCAGTCAGAAATGTCTCGTCGATCGACGTCGAAACGACGTCGTATGGACATCGAAACCGTCATAATGACGTCGATTCGACGTCGTTTCGACATCGATTGACGAGTCATTTCTGACTGGGTATTGTTAAGGCCCGGTCTACAATGAGTTGTTAGTCGTTAGTCAGAAGTCGGAACTATATGTCGGTCCTTTTTCTTCCACCCAGAATAGTCTATTCCTGGATAGACCAATCAGAGACACAAAAGAATTCTACATGGAGGTTGAAAAGCTTGGTTCTATCCCCAGTAATTGGGCTGTTATCCAACTAATGGCCAAAGAACGTGAGTTAAAAATAGAGGCTAGAACTTTTTCTATATTGACTTTCGAATGCCGTATGATGGCTTCAGCATGTGAGCGGAATTTGGGGGAAGAAATTCTGCCTCTCTTTAAGCAACAGTCAATGACATTGACAGGGTCTGAACTTAAACATAAAATGGACATCCTGTCCACTCTCCCAGAGACCGAAGAGCACACCTGGATTGCATTCATGCATGACCTACAGCAATGGAACTACACATTTAGATCATTTCAGCAAGCATACTTGATAAATGTCCTTTGTGATTTGTTTAAAGTGAACCATTTCCGCTACTTGATGCACATTTTCACTGACAGCAAGCTTATTTCAGCAAACAAGTTTACATCACCAGGATTTCCTGAAAAGTTTACTACTTGGGACACACATGCAGGTGGTAATCAGGGAATATTGCAGCAACTATGGACATTAATCACCATTATTGCAATAAGAAATGAAATGCATAAACTGGACCTTGAGCATAGATTGACAGGATCAGGGGACAATCAAGTGTTATTTGTGAAGCTAAGGAAGGGAAATCAACTACAGGCTATGATCTTTCACATAAAAGAGAAACTGAGATTGGCATTTGAATCCATAGGATTAGCCCTAAAGTTGGAAGAAACCTGGACCTCCCGTGAATTGGTTTGTTATCAACGACGATACTACCACAAGGGAGTATTAGTGCCAGGAGGCATTAAAATATCTGCAAGAGCATTCTCAGGAACCGGTGACATAAATGCAGGTTTGAATGCTGTGGTCACAACTGCTATTAATGGAGGAGTTGCATTAGCAGATCAACATGCTGATCCTATCATTGGACCTGCATTTGCATACACAGAAATCTTCCTGAATCTTCTTGGACATCAAGAGTGGACCAAATTAGTTCCTCATCAAGAGAAACCATTAGTTCTCTTGAGCATGTTGTCATCAGATTTTGGATTTTTGCCTTTTATACAGCTGACTGGATTTATGTATGCTGGACACCAAGACACCTTGAGTGAGTCATTATCTTTATTACAATACCTTTGGGACATCAGACCTGAATATCGTCCATTTATAGCTGGAACTGTTAGATTTAAAATAGGGGAAAGAGATCAAGATGCTCGACTTCAATTAGTCCTAGACCCCACTACCTTAAACATAGACAGACCTAAGCTCCCAGAAGCCATTATAAGAGACAATGTTGAGGAGTTCCTGATGACTCCAAAGAATGTCAAAAATGAGCAGCTTAGATTAATGTTCTCTTGCTGCAAAAAAGATGATCAGATTCGACTAGCTGAAGAACTTTTAAAAATAAGACCCATAAATACTGCCCTCTTACACTCACTGTTTGAGTATTCTCATATTGGTTCTTTATTAGGAACTCTTTCACGATTCAACAAGATATCATCCATAGTCAGGCTGGTTGGATTGAATAAAGTGGGAAGTCAAGAAATATGTTTTTCAAAAAGAGTTAGAGACCTTGACAATGCCAACTTGAAATATTTCTTTAGACGAATACATTCTAAAGTTACATACGGTGACAATTTTATTGGAGAGGTTACTTCATGTGATCGAACATACTATCTCCATTACTGCAGTATCAACAAATTGAGTCCCGTTTGTGTGTTCAGTGTGAGATTATTTCTCATAGCTTATAGCTATGGACTTGGCACTGAGTTCATCACTGGTCCTTATACCCCTCCACCATCTGAGCAGTTAATTTTTACTGATAAAGGTGTGCCCCTAGATACAAGAACAACTTTAATTGTTAATCCTTGCTTCAACATACCTGATTCCCTTGAACAATTAGAGATCAAAAGGGGATCCTACAATTTATACATATATTGGTAGTAGGACATCTGACCCTGTGCGAACAATAAAATTGACCACTCTGGATGGAGTAGAAGCAGGTACAGCTATAAAGACATTGCTCAAGATCCTTGCTTGGATGAAATCAACTCAGAGCAACAATAACATCATATCATTCATAACTGATCAATTAGGATCCAGAATGGAGGGATTAGAAAATATCATTCCTGGATTAGTTCCCGGAACTGCAGGAGGGTGCATTGACCATCGATTTGGGAGCCCTGGGACAGTTATGTGGGCATACTCAAATTCACCTACCATAATATCAACATGGTATCAGATAACTTCTAATAGAGCCACTCTCTTGCAAAGAGGGGAGGAAGACAGATTTGTATTCTTTCAACAGCTCTACCATCATATTTACAGTGTCTTGCGCTTCTGTAGACCTTATCATCACAGATTCGGGGTGATTGTAAGGACTGATCATTGTTCTTACCCAATTCCAGTCAGCCAATTCCAAGCTCCCCACTTGTATCTTCCGGGGCAGGATAAATTGATGACAGGGCTAATTTTGGATCCACTTAGAAAGGAGGCTTTGAGGAAGGAAGCTATACATTATCAAGGGGTCATGCACAATTCAACTCTGTATAAAGCGACAGGCACAGAAGTACTTGCTTCTGTTATAGGTAGCCAAGTGGCCCAGGGTATCATCATGTACTCTATGGGTCTCGAAGATATCAACTATGAGGAACATAAGATTAATTACAATCAAACATCTATAAACTTATCCATTTTGAGGAAGCTTCCACTGAGGAAATTACTCTCATCACTAGCTATACACCTAGCAGTTATGGGATACTTCGGCAATGCTGTAACCGTCAATAAATTGAATCAATTGGAAGCAAGATCACAAATTTATCATTCAGATTCTGTTAAATAATTGCTACCCACTATCTTTTATTTTCTCTTCCATCAACAATAGACTCAAACTACATTTTTCTAAAAAGATGAACAATGCCGGTGTAGAAAGGAGGGAGGAACCTCCGGGGGAGGAAAGGAAAACTTTTTTCTCGGTTCCTTATGTAAAGTCCTTTTCCGAGAGATTCGCTAACATAGTAAGCAAATCTGATTTTAGAATAGCTTACTCCTGCCACCATCCTCTCAAAAGATTCATTAAGACTGGCAAAGATAAACTAGAAAAGTTAGCTCATAGTGATGTGGTGTATAAGATCCCTTGCAAGGACTGTGATGCCACATACGTTGGTCAAACAAAAAGACAATTAGGAACCAGAGTCAAGGAACACTACAACGACATTAAAAGGAATCTCGCATCCCCCTCTGTCATATCTTGCCATAGAATGGACGCTTCACATGAATTTGATTGGGAAAGCGTTTCTATTCTTGACGAGGAACCATCATACCATAAAAGATTGATCTCAGAGATGATACACATAAAAAGACAGGTCAATTCTCTTAACAAACAATCAGACACAGAACTATTATCTGAAGAATACCTACCAATTTTAAACCTACTCCCTCCTCCGAAATGATTATTCCCCCCACTCCTCCTCTCTTACTCCCCCCTTCTCCCGTACATCCCACTTCCTTCCCTCACTGTAAGATAATCCTCGTGCCAGTTGACAAGTTACATTGCTACGACCATGCTGACCAAATTGATCCAGTTCACAGCACTTCCAACAAACTAATAAGTACGTTTTCTAAATCTAATTCTGTTTCTCCTATCAATTATAAACCAAATTATATTTTACCTTACAGCTCATTTGGGTACATGATAATTATTCCAAACTGCGTTTTTACTATGCTGTACACGACTTACGTTTAATGTTAACCGTCACGAAACTTTATATAATATTACTGTACTAAAGATGGTCTAGAATACGACCGAAACGTCTCTAATCTTTATGTTATTATAACAATAAATTATTTTTAAATATTGACACGTACATCTCGTCACGGCTCAGAGCCCTTTCTCTCGATTCTGATTTTATCATACGAGCCTTTGTCACACATATATTATTTAGATTGTATATACCGACCACGCTATCTTGCATGGCGGAAGGAAAATAAATAATTCGAATTTCTTATATTATCATTCCACTGAGTTCCTTCCTTGGCGCTAACTCGAATCTCGAATACGAAGGGAACCTAAATCGGAGACCTCACATAACGAGGTGAAGAAGAGGGTTACCTTACAACACGTGACCAATTAGCAATTTTCGCGGGGGTCGGCCCTCGGGATCTGTCGCCAGCCGAAAGCAGACACGTGAAGAGAAACGACAGGTAGACGATCGGCGACCGCTCGAGAGAAACGTTGTAGTGTACTAATAAAGTGTATACGAACACAGTTTAACCGTTGTTGTGCGGGAGAAAGATTATTCCTACCACAGGATGTAATTTGTACGTGACAAATTACTATGATTTGAAAAGCGCACATTTAAACATCTCAACTACGACTATAATATACATCTCATACCCGATGCTTACCATAATGTAAAGCATGTCCGCAATGCACTAGGTGATTTAAAAATTATAAGGTCACCTGCACAGATAAGTTGGAATTATACAGGGTGTACCTAAACTGGCGATAAATATTTTAATGACAAATAC